TTAAATCAGCTTGGGAGACTGAGATAAAATTTTTGTTTGATCATCCTTGTAACTTACCTAGTCCAACCAAAGTAAAGCCATTAGAAAAAGAAATAGGCCTAATGAGTTTTTAGATTAGAGGTTTTTCTTTCAACGGTTAGGGTGAAACTGTAGCTTCACAAGAATTTTAAACACATTGCTAATCAAGGCTTGTGTAGTTGTGTACCAACAAAAATAAAGGAAAACATCTGAATTTTCGTTATTGAACACAAAGACGTTTGTCATTAACTCTTATTAGTTTGATTTGTAAAGTGTACAAACTAAGTTACTGGCTCGGTGTCAACTCAACTAAGTAAGCTACTGGTACTGGTATAACTTATCAGAATATTTGTTTACTAGGCTACTAAGTTAGTGAGCTTTCTGGACGGCCCTGCTTTCTGTCAAGTAAATCTTGCATTTTCCTTTAAACCAAGTAGCCTACTAACCAACAGAACAGTCAGAGTTGCGAGAAGATAAATTATTTTGAACTACAAGACTAAAACCGGGCTTAACTTACCTAGTTTTGAAATGAGAATTTTTTTAGAATAGGATAGGCTAGGAGTAGGACATTGGACGGATTGGTCACTGGGCTAGTGGGTTAGGGCTATAAAAAACGACTCCTGTTTGAATGTAGAAATAGATTTTCAATTAAAATTGTTTTGGTTTAGAACACTATATGTTTTATATTAAATATTTTAATGGATTTATAATCATTAATCATACATTTAAATTTAAATAAATAATCCGTAAATTACTGAGCTGGTGTCACTTGCTTTCCATGTTATCTTTTATTATGGGACTTCCGGGGCTGGACAGCACCACTTGCAACGTTGCCAATTCTACAAGGCCGCGGCCTGTAGTTAAAGGCGGCCGTGGTGTGACACCATAGATTAAACATACGATAGCACGATTTGTTTTTCAGTATTAATTTTGCCAACAGTTACATTAGGAGGCTTCTGGACTATTGAAGGTTTAGTAATCGAAAAATTAGTTCTGTTCATTAAATACCTACAATTATAAATGCCTCAAATTCAATTTTATATTTTTTAAATCATGAAATTAAACTGTCATAAACTAACCAAACTAACCAGACTTGCTGATAATGAAAAATCGAATGAAGGGTAATAAAAAAATAGTTCTGTTCATAAAATAAAACTAAATGGCTCAAATTCAATTTTATAATGTTTTAATAACCAACCAAACTTGCTGATTATGAGAAAAATCCTTGACAAAAAGTTATTGCTCTCGGAGGGATTTGAACCCGGCCCTCCCGTTATCAGAACAGCTACCTATCCACTATGCCACCAAGTCTATATGACTGTGGCGACTAGCGCCACGTCTCGTGAAGCTCCTGCTCTCTAGGAGCATATACTTCCAGATACTGTGGGTCCAAGCCCTGGTAGCTCAGCTACCTGTAGACGTCAACGTCGTTCTGGGGGGTTACTCGTCGATCCGGGGACGGAGCTGGGGAACATCCTCAGCAACCATGTCCCTGATGTGTTTCCACGGAGAAACATCCGCCGTCTCTTCAAGTCTTGCTCGAAGGCCGTCGACGATGTCTCGGAAGAGTTGGTACTGCCGCAGAGTCCCTGATGACGGTTTCCTCACGTACGAAATTTACTTCACGATCACATGTGACATCACCTACCCGGTCCAGAAAAATAGAATTGAAATGAAGTAACGTATTTTTACTTTCTCCCCCTATACCATAGCACACCATAGTATATGGAGAAAGTATTTTTTTCGTCAAAATTTTCAAGTTTGAGTGGATATATCCGTTTTGGGTCCCCTGGACCCAAAAAAGTGGTTTTCCATGTCTGTGTGTGTGTGTCTGGATGTGTACAGAGCTAGGGACTACGTGGTCCGATTTCGATGAAATTTGGTATGTAGGTTCTAATCCAACGGTATCTCCAGGTGTTTTTTTCATTTTTTCAAAATTTTGATTTTTAATGGGGATTTTTCAATAAAAATCCATAAAAACTGGAAAAATCGGATTTTCTCAAAAATGGCCTAACGATTTTGATAAAAGTTAAGTATGTTGTAGCCCTTTAAATTCTGAACAAAATGGTACAAATCCCATTTTTGTAAAAATTACGGTTCAAAAGTTATTGTAAATTATTTTATTTTCCCATAAAATAACGAAAAATAGGATTTTAGAAAAAATCCGGTTTTGATTTAACATAGTGTGTCATGGTCCTTACAATTTTGATAGTTTTTTTTTCATTATTTAGAAATTTTGATTTTTAATGAGGATTTTCCCATAAAAACCCCATAAAATAACGGAAAAATTGGATTTTCCCAAAAATGGACAGAACAATTTTGATAAAAATTTAGTATGTTATATTCCTTTAAATTCTGAACAAAATTGTACAAATCCAATTTCCGTATATTTACTCTCACCGCTTACACATGATGAAGGTCATTGACAAACTTATGGGAGAAAGTATGTGTCAGAATGCTGAAACCATTTATTTATAGAGCTTTAGGCAGGGGTAGAAGGTTGAGCAACAATGAAACTTCCAGGTTCACCTAAACATTGCGTTCCGTTTTTCTGAGGGGGGGAGGGATGTAATTGTTATCGTAAACCTTTTTACTGTCCGTCGTTAACTTTTACCAGAGAAAACTGGATTTTGATTCTGATTCTGACCCAGGACTGAGCCTTGCGGCACCCCATGTACTAGTTGAGTAGCCGATGTCGAGCCGTTAATAGCAACACACTGCAGCCTCCCATTCAAATATGAGTGAAAATTTAAAAACGTACGTTTTCAGAGAAAGCACTTGGCAATTTTTTTTCTCCTTTTTTCTAAACTTTTATTTTTTTTTTATTTCATTAACGTTTGAAGTTTCATAAAATGTCCATGGTAACGCAATATCTTTGGCAGTTTTTTTTTAAAAGATCATCTTTAGTGGAAAAACACAAAATCCTGTCACGACCATAACAAACGTTTAAATGAATATTAAAAATAGTTAATATTATTTTTACAACTATGTTTTGCTATAAACTAATTGACTTTTATGACCATTATACAATAAAAAGGTCACTGAGCTGTTGGTATATTTGGTCTTTCTAGAAAAAAGTAAAAAAACTCAAAAAATTAAAAAAAGCCAATAAAATCTTTTTAAGTTTGTATAACTCCGAAAAAACTTACCTGAGACCCGAAAAGTCGTTATGTTTGTATAGAGGTGTGCTTCTTTTGTGTATAAAACATTGAAATATGACGATATTTTAATTTTTGAAATTTTTATGATAGAAATCGTAAACGTTATGGTTAGGGACAAGCGGTACGGTCGTGAATTTTCTGAAATAATCTGAATCTTTCTAAACAATCCTTCAATTATACTGTTAGTTATAATAAAAATATGTGTTTCAATTGAACTAAACTGTTCAATTTACAATGATATTAAAGTTATTGTCACGACCAAACACACTATAATCCATAAGGCTGGATTGGTCGTGAAAAAACCCGCGATGGTCGTGAAACTTTGGTCGTGAATAGGGATCCCAGACGTCCTCTTTTTCCCGGACACGTCCTCTTTTTGGGTACAAAAAAAACGTCCGGGGGATTTTCGGCAATACTTTCAAATGTCCGGGATTTTGACTTTGTGAGAAAATAAAAAAATATTTCTGCAAGTATTAATATTAGCAATCAGCTTTTATAATTAATCGTCATCATAACAATTAAACTAAGTTAAAATACTACACTTTAATAATATCTTACGTATAAAAGTGTCATTTCCTCTTTCTTTAGGTCAAATTTCGTGTATAACGTACGCTAGAATCCATTGGAAATACTGTAGAACAAAACAGAAAGGAAGGCGAAACTGAATAACTCTGCTCACTAGTAGCCAGTTTGCCAGGCCAGTAGCATACTAGCATTGACTTTATAACACTACGTAGTGTTTATAGTCAATGATACTAGCGACCGTCGGCCGTCAACCAGTGACTAGCTCTTCGTCTGCTTACTTTACGTTACATGTTACATGCCTACTTAAAAAATAATTATCTTACTTTTTAATTTGTCCGTGTTGATCGTCCTTAGGGCCTACCCTAATGCCGAAAAGAAAATGTGTATTTTCAGAAAAGTTGAAAGAAAAGTTTACTTGTTTTAAGCGTGGTTGACATGAACTGTTGCTTGCTGGGCAGGTATAATGCAGTCGTGTTGGGTGCTAGTTCTTAAACACTTCTTAGATAAAATAAGTTCTCTGGTTCAAAATCATGGTCTGATTTTGGACAATTTCTGTTTAGCATGCACATTGGCACCAGAGTGTTTTTTGTAAATCAAACATTCTTGAATGTGTTGTAATGTTGCGGTATTCTTTTGATATTAAAACCACCAAAGTCTCAATAAAAAAAAAAAAACAAAAAAAACATGACATTATGCGAGTACAAGTTTATTTTTTAACATTTCTTGACCTTTAAAAAATAAACTGGGAAGCTTGAACACATTAAACTAGGTCCTCAAAATAGCTTAAAAAGTACTAATTTTAGCACGTTATTTCCAATTTTTTTTACATTACGTTACATCCCAAATGGTCGTGATGCCAAATCGAGGGACAGACTTATTTTGTCATGGTAGTCAGTTTGCAATGACAATAAAATTATAATATGCTCCTTTTTTGTAAGTTTAATAACCATTGATGACATCGTGAATTTCGAGACTTTAAAAATACGAAAAAAATACCTAGAACCTGTTTAAAACCAAATAAACTGCTTGGAATATATGTAAAGCCTTGTTTACACCAAGCCAGTTGGCAGGCAGGCTACCTAACAACACTGAGCCAAAGAAGAACTCAAAAGCCAGTATGATCTAAACTTGACTCTCAGAGGTTGCAGCCCTTACCCGTTTTAGTTTTCAAAGTAAGTTTTAGTTTTTGTTGAGTGAATTGAATATAGTTGTTATAAGTGAAGTTTAAGAGCTAACAACACTCCAATCTTAAAAAATTAACTACCAAAACACAAGGAGAAATAAAACACAGTTGAATATATAAGTCACACAGTAAGATGTAATAGAATCAATTGATGAAAACAGGTAGGTGAGAATGTTCCACAAAACACTACCGATTTTTGTACCTAATGTTTTTACAAAACAAACAAAACTCTGTACTTTAATCAATATTGTACACAAAACTCGTGGAATAGGTTATAACGAATGGCAGGGTATAACAATAATCGCTAAGTACAAAGTCTCTGTCCGCTCTGGGACTGAGGCAACAATGTAGCAATGCCTATACAATCTACAATGAAAAACAAATTCTCTATACTTATTTGTTGTCAAGTACGAGTACGATTATTTATAAAGAGCGTTACTATACATGATTCAGCCATGTTGTAGAAAACAATCACATGTATCACCACGAGTCCACTGTCCTATGTTGCGGATTATGAGTAGTCATGGAAGCATCTTAGGGTGGCCAATTCTCTTCTCAATGACACAACGAGTACTGTGCACAAAAAACTGACGAGAGGGTAAACAAATCCATAAAATCATACCTGCCTTAAATTCGGTTACAATTTTCAATAATTTTCCAGCTATCGATAGTACTACAACTAAACTAATTTGATCTAAAACTATGTTTAACCTTGTAAATTCAAATAATTATAAAAAAATAATAAATTCATGTGATGGTTTGACTTAGCTGTACACAAAATAATTTGTTTCATTAAATCCAAAACAATAATTAGACATTTTACTTAAATAGTTAAATACAGTACGTTACTCTTTCAAATCTATATTTTTATCTAATTAAGAAAAAAAGTCAACTTAACTAGTGTAATTTTGTATGCGCTTTGAATTTCAGTTACACGTTTGTAGCTTTATATGGTACAAACAAACAACGTTCTATGTAGATTAAACAAATAATTGCACTTTTCATAAAATCTTTATATAAAACATAAATAGACTCTGCTACCATGTGAAACATGTCGAGTACAACCGTATACACAACTCCAGTTCCGTTAAACACAAAGAACCGATAGATGAAAACTATCCGACCAACTGAATGGTACAAATAACTTTTTACTGTGAAAAATATTTTATTAAAAAACTTTACGGTCTACCTCAGCCTACAATATAAAGCTTTTAATCGATATTCACCTATTACAAATCCGAGGGAAATATACGCTTTTATTTATTTACTAAAATAAAATTATATTATTAACAACTATACACTCAAAATATATGTACAATGAAACCGAGTATGCACAAATAGGGCTGAAGCTTAAAAATTCCAGCACCAAAGTACCCTGCACACTCCAGCACTGAGCTAACTTTAACAATAACTGGGACGAGCGTAAAGTAACAACTTACTTACAAAGACTAATACATTGATTTTGATCAGTCTGTACAATGATTTGTCAACATAATAACAAAATACTGTGGCACAGTTTTTCTTAAAAATAAATTAAGTTTTAGGTGTGCACACCATTCAGAACAAACTAGCAATTTTTATTGCCAGCCTAGTTTTAACTAATATAAAAATACTATTTGCCAAAAATAATTTATTTTGTTCAATTATTTATATTTTCAAAGATTGTAATTTGCAAAAACATACAAAATAAATACTTTGAAAAGGATTTAATACCAAAAATGTCTACTAGCAGCCATTGTATTGCCTAAGTATTTACGATTGTAGGTTATTAATGTATACATTTTTATCTTGATGCAAATAAAAAAAAACTTATAATAAAGATTTTCTTTAAAAATTAGTTTTAAAGGCGGAATTCATAATGAATATCTGCTGCTAATACAAAGCCACATGTCAAAAGAAATAAGATTAAATGAAGTGTCTACAAAAGTTAATGTACTATTTTACTTGAGAAAAAATATAACATTGATAATTTTTTTTATTAGGTTAATCACTCCCATTTGGTGTGAGGTCAACTCAACATCCAACACCATGAAATACGCTAACATTTCGAACTTTGTACACAAATTTGCCCTGTAAAATGTAAAATGTTTACAACACAACATTCCCGAGGAAAGCAATAAGATTCAAAGGATAGTTTACCTCTAAAAAAAATCTCACACACTGCTAAATGTGTGGAATCTAAACCTAACCGCTACTTATTGAGCATTTAATCGGCTGGTAGAAATGAATCACTGATTCAGCTAATGTGGAGAGGAAGAAAAACTATGCCACAATGAATACAAGTTGAAGGCAACAATACAATATAAATAAAATCTAATATTTGTTTACGCCGGGGAGACGGAGGGTGGTTAGAGCGGGTCTTTGGACGGGACCCAGATTGTTGGCCCGGACTGGTCATGGATCACTTCCTTCACCTTCTGGTAGATCTCTTCAGGAGTGTCTCCTTGCACGATGGCTGTGAACAATAGAGGAGATCATGAATCACAGGAAACCTAACTAGATATATTAATAGTAACACTGAAAGTAGTTGGTGAAATCCTGAGCAGGGGTGATTCCGCTACCAGATGGCGTTTGTGTTTGGGCGAAATCATTTATGGATGCAAATAACACAAGAAATGGCGTTGAAACATTTATTTGAATACTAGAACAACTAAAAGTTTGAGACCAATAGCAAGTTTGGTTGTAAGGAAAAACAATTTAATAGCGAGTGTCTAAACTAAACACAAAATCTTTACATTTTTTTCATTGAATTACCTGTAAAATACTCTCCAAACTCCTGTTCCATCTTCATGGCACGTTCAAATGTCTTCTTCGCTTGCTCTTCTGTCATTCTTTTGTTCATTTCCCTAAAAGAATAATTTTGGATTAAATACAAATCTTAAAAAATTGATTTTAATGCAGTGAGTTATTCTCTTCCCTCCTTGTTCCCCATCATGGTGGAAGGAAAAAACATAGGTGTGCTATTCCCAAATATTCTGACGTCACTCGGATTGCAAACAAAAGATCACCTGATTGTAACTGTCAAATTAGTATATGTATTTGTTTTGATTTGGTTGTTATTGTTTTTATTATTACAAAAACAATAACAGTCAAATCAAAACAAATACATACTAATTTGACAGTTACAATCAGGTGATCTTTTGTTTGCAATCCGAGTGACGTCAGAATATGTGGGAATAGCACACCTATGTTTTTTCCTTCCACCATGGTTCCCCATAATGTTAAGTCTTCTCCTTTTACCTTCTCTCCTTATTTCAAATAATTGACAACTTTCTTTCTCTCTCTCCTATTACTCAACATAAAAAACCTTTATTTTTGACACGCCTTAATCCCCCAAAACAAAAGAAAAAAATCAATTTCTCCTCTTTCTTTATTTCTTATAAAGTAAGCAACCACTTATCCACTTTAACCATTCTCCATAGGCCCACTTACAGAGAAAATTTGTTTGAGTTGATCCTAAAAAAGGATAAATTTTATGATTTGGCTTAATATAAACTTGAGTTTCAACGAACTATTTTTTGTGCATATTGTGTGTAGACGTAGATCCAACCAATTAAAATAAATGAAAAAAAACCAAAAGAAACTAAGAATAGATAAAATGTTGAGGCTACTCACATAATGGACTCCACAGACTTGGGTTTGATAAACACCGCGATGGGATACAGTTGGGCAACCTGAAGCCTCTTGATAGCGTTTCCGCTTACGTCCAGGATACAGTGTTTACCCTGCAAAAAATAAAAATATTCAACCATCAGCAGTGACAAGGCACACCTACTCTTTAGCAATGCCAGCAACCAACATTCAGTTAAACAATTTTAGGTCACTCAATAAAAAAAAAAATACTCAAGAATACCCAGAAATAATTAAGCACTTTATTTGAAATTTGACCTAGTTTTCCCTATTTTTAATGGGTATTATAAATTTAAATTTTTAAGGAAACAGTGAAATTTTAACATTTCATGAATCAAATCAATTATTCTATGAGAGTCTCTTGAAATTCAAGAACATCAACGTAATTATAATAGTAAGGACTTTGCAAAGGCTATTTATACTTGACATAATCAAACCCTAGGTGTTAAAATAACATATTACAGTATAAATGACACAACCAACATTCCTAAATAAGACCTAACTAGGACATAAAGGTAGAAGAGACACTCAAAGTGTGATGGTCCAGTAACCAAAAATTGTCATTTGTTTAGCGATACCCCGGGAATATGTGTATTACAATATCCATTTTACAATACCTTTAAGCAAATCCAATCCTAAAAATCAAATTAGGCCTACATCTTTTGGCAGAACGCCATTACTAATCACCTCCAAAGGTTCCTGGTTGCAGACTGTAAATCTTGTATTTGTAACACCTTGTTTTTTACCATATTGTAAAATCCATAGCCAATTTTGCAGTTCTGAAGCCATTACAACTTCTACAAGACTTTTTACTTTTGAATAACATTTATCAAAGTAACAAGTTAATTAATTAAGTGTCACGCTCAGTAACTAACCTTCTCTGCAACTTCCCTAACAGAAGCCACGGAAGTTCCGTACAAGTTATCGTTGTACTGCCCTGCCTCTATAAACAGATGGTTCTGGATGTCCTTCTCCATCTGTTCCCTTGAGGCTACAAAGTGATAATCTCTGCCATCTACCTCGTACTCTCGCTTGGGTCTGGTCGTGTCTGGAAAAAACTCAACAATTGAAACATTTAAAGAATTTATGTGACTGATTCAGATAGTGATGAAATATTATGATAAAATCACATGTGTACAGTTTTGTTTGAAAGAAAAACTCAAAATGGTCAAAGTGCCTACAGTCACCTGACAAAGTGGCCTTCCTTGCACTGATTATAGCTTAGAAAGATGGTAATTGCTGCATCTACTTACTTTTGTTGCACACATATTACTTTTGCCACACACCACCATTCTAACCAAACAACATAAAACAGCGTGCTTTTATTAGGCACGTAATACATGTACGCTTGAAAATAAGTTGGCAACACTTAAAGATATTACGACTACGATCAGCTGGTACAGCGTTTCCCATTTTGTTCAATGTTTGGATTTAACCTAACCTATAAACGTGTTGTACAGAGTTTGAAAGACTAATTATTTATATTCTTTATATAGTAAATATTAACAAGACCCAGATCTGGAAAGTTTCTTTACAAAAAAATGTTTGAGTAAAATAGCCAAATACCTTAAAAGTACACAAACTATCAGAAATACAATACTCTAGGAGTTGACTCATTCTAAAAAAAAAAACAAAAAAAACATAGCCACATCAAGATTACTTACGAGGTACACAAGACCCAAACTGATCGGGGAACTCGGAGATGAGATCATCATTGATCCTGTCTTTGAGAGGTCCGAGGATGATGACCGGCCGAGTGTATTCTATCTGTAGTTGTGACACTGGCTCATAGGACAACACTTGCTCTTCCGTACCTACACACACAGCTGGGTAAGTGGACAATAAACATGTGTATTTCCTTCGGCTCCATCTGCTTGTCTTGTCAAAAACATGTCTAAGACTTGCGACTTAGAACCTATAATTGGCCCACATGTTTACCTTTGACTAAGGATAGAGGATAGAACTAGACATTCCATTCCAATGTAGCTAGTTTTAGAATTAAAATGAGCTTAGTTGAATAGAGCCACCGAAATATAGCACAGATCACATTTACTGATGTTGTAAACACTAACTTTCTTAAACAAGCTTAAAGTAACAAAAAGTAAGGGAGAAAATAGAATTCAACACGTTCAATGCGGCTGCACGATGGTCGACCCTGCCGGTGGGGCAAACATCTGCACCATCAAACATCGGTGCGCTACGTGGACGAGTGCGCAAAAACGTTTAAATTTAGTTTAATCCAAATGAGAGGCATATACTGCGTCCCAGTTGTTGTGGACGTAGTTTTTCAAGAACCCAACAGATAGCAGCACTAAACAATACTGCTAGCCGGCTTTCAGTATTGCAGGGTGTCCACATTCTGGAAAGTCAGGGATAGTCATGGAAAGTCATGGAAAAAAATTCTGGTCATTGAAAGTCATGGAAATAGGCAAAAGGTCATGGAAAGTCATGGAAATTCCCCATGATGGATGATTTGAGGGAACTATTCAATGCTCTAGTCCGCCGTAACTCCGACTACTGTAGCATTTTTCAGGATTTTTCACAAATTTTTGACGATTCAATTTATTTCAGTTGTATTATTTTATGATTTTTGAGTTTGTATTAGTTCATTGTTGTACCATTGTACTCCATTGTTGTCTGTTAATACATATTTCAGTAGTTTCTGCGATATCTAGGCAGTTTTATTTGTGTGTGTATGTTATATTATAATTTGAGTAAAGTTCGTGAGTCATGGAAATCGATGGTAAACGGTCATGGATAGTCATGGAAAGTCATGGAAATTAATGACAAATTTTTTGTGGACACCCTGGTATTGTCAAATGGAGGGAATAGCAGAGGTGAATTACCTGGATACACCATTAAAAAATACTGAAAAAAAGCAGTCGAGCACAATTTTTAGGTTAGGTTCCTTTCCACAATGCTACGGTACATTCATTAACGTTACTCTATTGCATGTCATTAGATCCAAGCCTAAACCCCACACTACAATAAATCTGTAACCGTCCCTACCACCAATAAAATAGTCGGATCAAAAAACGAACTATACCAGATTGAAGTATAATACTGACACAATAAGCGGCAAGCGAAACAACGACTCACGGCAGTGGTTAACCTCCCATTGGAACAATAGTTTGTAAACGGTGCTTTGAAGAGTATGCTCGTTGGGCGCCACGGGAAAGAACTAGCGGTGATGAGATTACTCGTCATCCGCAGTGAACGTGTTAACCTGTAGCAAGTATTGAGAGTGGATCATTCAATTATTTTCTTTTTTAATAAAATAGGCTGCAACTGGACTATACAGATGGGATGTCTACTTCAGTATCCAAAGTCAATGGTATTACTGTTATATTTTGAAATTATCGACGACACGTTGCGGGTTGACAAGTCATCCAATATTTTAATTTTAAAATTAAACTAGCAGCATATGTAACTGACAGACTGTAGTGGTCTTCGTATGCCAAAAGAGAATACAAATTCATTGGTCTGCTGCCGTCGCCTGGTACGATCAACTACCTGGATGGTCCTAATGTTGTTTGTTCTATATTATATGTTGTATTGTGTTGACATTTGATGTTTTGAAGTTGTGCAAGCTTTTGACAATGCTGCGGTTGCAACGGTACTAGTCAGCATGTTATTGAGACTTTGGACTACAGACAGAGGTAAGATAGCCTATTTTGACAAAAAAACAGTCAAAGGGCTATAATATCGATTGAAATATTCGATTGATTTGATAATATTCCAGCCAGGCTGTTGGTTTGTCTAAAACACTGGAGCTTTGTAAATTTGCAGTGAAGCTGTTAGGTTTGTCTCTTCAAACTAATTGGACGACTTGTCAATGGAAATATTATAAAGTAGGATGTATATACTATAGTCAACAGGAAAACATTGACAATACAGGTAATTTACAAGGTACATTGAAGTGAAATAAATATGGGACAAAGTGGGTAGTGCACCATAGGTTATTGTAATTAATGTAACAAAATTCTATCAACATTTAAAAATTTAAAAGTAGGTTGGTATCCATAAAAAAACTTATTATCCTTAAAAAATCAAATACAATTTGTTAAAGGATGATGAGTTACGTGATTTCACAAAAATCAAAATACACTTAGTACGTGAAAAATAGAAATAAAAATTATTGTTATTGAAAAAAATATAAAAATATGAAAACTCTATTTCAAACACAGATTTGTTATTCCAAGTTTGAGTAAAAAGATTTCTATTGGAGATGAGTTGGTTCCAACTAAAAAAAATTAGAAAAGACAAATATTTGATAAACAATCAAAAATATTCTGGTACGGTACTAACAAAAAATAATAATCTAAAAAAAGAGAATAACTGTACGGGGGTTTTCAGCATTAGAACAATTGTATAATAGTATATTTTCGTACCTAGGGCCGAAAATGAGGTTTTGCTGGCTCGAGATAGTTTTTAAGTTTGAGGCGAAGTCGAGAAACGATCGAAAGCTGCAAAAGCATTTCAGTCCGTGGTACGAACGCTATTTTTCACCACACTATACCCTATTACCACTATTCACCACAATAAGAATGTACACTAACAGTCAACACAACTACAGTTTTAAAGGTTATGTGAAGAAATAATTTGAGGAATCAGCAAAAATAATAATAAATAGTAGCTAGGCAGCAGTGAGAATAAAACAATTCTATTGCAATGCTATGGATACTGATTGTGTATTTAATATGCATTCATGTTTTAAGAAAGTAAGCGGACAGCTGATTTTGCGGCCCTTGGGATGTAAAAACCTGCTCGGTCCCCAAATGACGATGACAGCTGGCATGGCCAGCAAAACGTAACTTTCAGCCACCAATTTACGTATGTAATACAGCTAAAAAAAAAACATCATAGTGTGGTGAAAAATATATTACAACCTTCTTTTGATACAATGTAATAAAATGGTACCAAACGAATGTTTTCAATTTTCACATATATAGCATTAAAGAGGAATTACAAAAATAGGAACTTTCTCATCTTCAATATTATAAAAACAGTTAGAATTTATCAATAAGTATGTGAAGAGAAATAACACTGGGTAGAAGATTTTACATAGGATATTAATTTTAAATGTATACACTTTTTAATAGTATAATAATGCTAATGAAGAATATATTTAAATTTCTCTAAAATTAAGTTTGCACGTGGCCTTCTCAGACTCAGGTTTTAAAGTTTCATCCATGGCAAAAAAGTATTGAACAAGAATCAAGACATTTATTTTTACAACATATGCTTTTGCAGAACTTAATGTAGCCACAATTTTTGTTAAGGAATCTATCTGAAACTTGGCTAATTAAGAACATTCATTTACTAAAGAAAAATTGACTAAATGTTTAAAGCAAACAAAGTTTAGATATTGCTAAAATTTATGTTAACAGATAAATATAACTGTATCAAATCCAGATAAAATTATCTGGTTGTCTATAGTTAAGAAAATGTTTAATGGGTAACAAATGTAACTTAAAGAAAACAAAAATCCTTGCAAAAAATTATAATAATTTAATTACGTTGGTTTTATTTGACGAATAAAAAAAAATAAATCATATTTAATTGCTATTGTAAAAAAAATATTAGATACATTTGTAATTATAGTATATTATAGCTTATAATTATATCAAGAGACAGTCAACCAATTAATCAAACATTTAGTGTTAATTATTGCCATTCCACAACAAATGCAAAAACTGTGAGAAAATGAGTTAATTTAGGTTACTAAACTGAGTGATTAGCATATAAAAACTATAATGTTAGGTAATCAACTGAAATGATGAGGAAAAAGAGAATTTATGGTATGGAATTTTAAAACAAAAGGTGAACAATTATGTGAAAGTTGGACAATTGGACAAGTTGTACGTTTACATACAAATTGTTCTTCATTAATGTTGGTGTTTTGTTTATTTCCATATCTGATAAATAAGAAACTGATATGCAACAAGTCCTGTAAGCAGATACACTGAAGGTAGGTAAATAGTAGCAAACCCACTAATGAGAGGTGCAACTAATGAAACATCCACCATTTATTTTATGTGGGCCTCTTCCATCAAACTCGGCCACAGACGAGTAAACTTGTCATGAGTTTGACACAAGACCTGATATAGAGACAGGTTTCAGACACGCTATCTACGGTGCTGCGCTACGCTTGTCCAATGATTAGACCTAACAGTTCCCTCTACCATTGAAAAACACCTTTGTCTAGTCTAAGCTCGAATCAAGTATGCAACACAGCTGAAGGATGATTTTAGGCATTTTTGTTAAGTTATGGTCGCAATTACTGTTTTGAGTTAATATTTTAATACTTAAAGATTTTGTTCTGACTATCAGACTTTTAGGTGTGTAAGAATTAAAACTAAATCCAACTAGAAGTCTATAAAATGAATATTTTAAATAAAAGGCTCATTTAGTGCACATCTAAATAAACTATTTCAATATCAATTCACGTACCCGTAAAATATTTCTCTTTATCCAACCTAAAAACTCTAAATATCACATTCAACGATTTACACCTCTATTGGTGAGTGATGAAAATTAGTACTAATATTTTCCTCTCTTGTGAAGGTCTATCTAGAGTAGCTAAGGATCGGGAACCAAACCAATCCGTGGAAACAACCATTCCGCACACACACGTCTGGTTATGGTCGGGTCGTGCGACATTGGGCAAGGGTAGAGTTGCGTTAAACACACCACACTGATATGATATGAAATGATCCTTACCAATAAGTATTTCTATAAAGCTAATGCTGCTTAAGCTAATACCTTCAGAGCTCGGATCGTCTTGGGTGTAACATAGCATGAAGGCTGAAACAGAAAAAAATATTCTATTGAAACATAAATTACATGACAACAAATTTCAAAGATTATTAAAAAATTTACATTTTTGACATTATTTCCTGTCTAGTAACAAATTAAATTATTAATTCAATTATGTCAACTTATACTGTAGCACAAAAATATTTTTATAAAATAAATACTATTTAGTTGTCACTAACATTATTATGCATAGTAGATGGATATGAACAAAATAAAAATCATACATCCATCTTTAAGATATTGATATACTTACTGATAGCCAAACAAATAATAAATTTTATCAATGAGAAAATTGTAAATTTAAATAAAAGTAAAACCAAAATCAATGGGTGGGTAAGAGAAGACCAATTAAATTTTGGTACATTTCACCAATAAAAAATTCATTTTAATCCTAATTCTCTTTTCAACTCTCATCAATGTGAAACTTAAACATTTACACATAAAAAATTTACTGGCGACAAACCAACCCCGAAAACATTGTATGTTTCAGAAACCGACCGTTCAACATATGCAAAAAAAATTACTGATAAATTATAATTATCTTTTTTCAATCACAAAGGTGTACGTAACAAGGGTCATTCTACAATTCCAAAACAGTTTAGAACATACATGCAGAGGAGAACGTTCGTGAAACAGTGGAAACGTAAACTCCATGCAGGTGTACGGTGATGCCATTACCTGAGCAAAGTGTAACTCCGAACCAACTAAACTAATGTTTAACTTAGGACTGAACACTTTAATATCTAGTTGATCTGAGTTCCAGTTACCAACCACGTGGCCTTTTCATAAAAAAAACTATTAATAATATTACCACAATTTTGTTGGTTGGCTTTAAATTTATTTTATGTGAGTTATACATAGCTATGAGCTATTTTAAATTCATTATTTACTAAGGAAAACTATTATTTTCTGCTTAAAATTATTGATTAATTATTGATTCTAAAACTGATATGTTTTGTGCAATGCAGACAGTGCTAAATACCTAAATTCTTCATAACAGAGGGTTTCAGATCCATCTAAATTAATTCTGTCCCTTAACTAAACCAAAGTCTTTATTGAAAGTTAAATGTGTTCGTTAAGCTCTTTAACATATTGAATCATTTTAAAATTAATAAGATTTTTTCTATCTACTAACATAAAGTAAAAAATAAAGCCTCTTTGGCTTCAATTTTCTTTTTTATCAACTTTTTTGTTTGAGTGTGAAATATTTATTTATTTATATGTACTAATGTCACAACTGTTTATACTTTCCAGAAAAAAAAAAAACAGAATATTCTGATTGTTTCAATTAGTCACAAAAACTCATCATGTCCCAAGTGAGCTTGTAGGCTGATGCTGTTGGGGCCTTGGTGGTTTAAATGACCATTGTGAACATGTTCACAAACTTATTTTTACTAGAACAGAAGTTCTAGTTTTTTTTTGTAATTTAAAATCTGACTTTGTCTCTAGATGAGAAGGAACTTAGATCAATAAAAGATTAGTAAATAAACCAGACAGCACTGGAGAACTCAATAGCTACAATGAAACAAACTTGTAGACCTGTCGAATAAAATAATAAGTTCAAAATAGAAGAAAAAAAACCCACTATAACCATAGACAAAAAGAATTAAATATAGACCGTCAGCCGTGCTGCGGTTACCATAGGTTCTGGCGCACACCGCTGGGAGCGCGTAAGCCATAACTACATGGCGCTCCAAGCGGTGTGCACCAGAACCTATGGTAACTACAGTACAGCTGACGGTATATATTTATTTATTTTTGTCTATGCTATAACCCAAGTCATTGTATTGTGTGGTTGTATTTGTTTATTGCTAGTTTTCTTATCCTTCTTGTTTGGTCTTTCAAATTTTACTTATTTAGAGATTTATCGCTTTCACCCAAACGGTGTTTTCCAGTGGTGTCCAATTTGCCTGCTAATCTTAAATAGCCTATTTTAAGTTTCATGTCACCTAAAGACTGTATCAAATAGGACCCTAATGTTAAGACTTATGTTTCACCATTGATAAAAGATGTTCACAATAACACTTAAAACAACACAATCTCTTTATCACAAAAAACTTTAAATCGAGAGAGCTTTTGTGTAACAATCTCTTAAGCAAAAAATACCGATTCTAAGGTCTTTGTGCATCATCAGCCAATCCAAACACCACCGAAATAACAATCCCGAGAGCCAGCCATTCTGTTACCAAGCAGCTGAGTCAAGCCAAGCAACTGTTCACATTGGAACAGCAGCAAAACCAGCAAACCCACAGTGAAATTTGTAAAAAGCGTTAAAAGAGCCAAGTTCAAGACAATTGCTTACGGTTTTCGGAATACTTACGCAGTGACGTTGAATCTCCTTCATTGGTCGGGGTGTTGGGGGAAGCTGGGGGGGAAAGAGAGAGATAGAAAATACCAAACAAGGACAAACACAACAGAGCAAGCAGATGTCATTCAGTGTTAGTGTACACCATTGCTAACTGCATGGGTAGAAGCAGATAGGGCGGTTAAATATGTGAGAAACATAAATGAAAAAACTTTATCAGTTTAACCCTTGATCACACTTAAAAACACTCATCGTTATCTTCAGGGGAGATCTGTGTCTGTGTCTATGGATCTACCACAAAAAAAAACATGGACAGAGTTTTGCTCCAGCAAAAAAGGGCATTGAGGATAATGTTGAATTTAAGATCAACGACCTCGGTAAGGCAAGTCTTTTGTATACATAAAATATTCACAGTCTACAGTCTTTTCATTTATGAGTCAATTACATTTGTTTTGATGAATGATAAAATTGCAATAGGTAACCATATTCATAAATATAACACAAGATCACACCGATTGGTAGAGCAGCACAATTTGGAATTTTATAAGAAAAAAACTAGTTATTTAGGAAACAAATTTTTACAACACCTTCCAGAAACTTTAAAATTGGAGGAAAATCCAAATAAATTTTTAAAATCATTAAAAAGATTTTTAATTGAATCAGCATTTTACTCCATTCAAGAATTTTTTTGTAATTGAAAATCACTAAAAAACTAAAACATTTAATTGTTCTATGTTTGTTTTCTTTTACTTTAATTTGCATTTGATGTATTAATCAGCTGGACTTATTATTATTTAAAGAAAGGAAAATCAATTTGAAGGTCATTAATTGTCATATATATTCTGTTTTGACTGTAAAATCCCTAGTTTTAGCGATCTAGATAAGAAAACTTATGTTGACACAATTTCATGTACCAATCTGTGCATTTTATGAAATAAAGAAGTTGATTGATTGATTGATTGAACTATCCACTTTAGTGGCATTATTGACTCTAAAATAAGAATGTAACATAGAGCACAAGGGGCTAGGTATTAAGTTTTGTTAGGATATCAGGCTTGGATGAATAGGAATAGGCCAATCTAGCACAAACAACTTCACATTTGACTGTAACTAACAGATTGTTCGAAGGTGAGTTGGGAAGGAAGATTGTAATCCCATTGGAGAAATATTTTAATTTTTATATAGTGTAAATCTTTTTGTGTTTCTTGGGCCAGAGTGGAAACTTTATCATCCACATAAGCCTGATATCCTGACAAAGGATAATAGATTAATTCGCAAGACAACATAAAAAATCAAGTTGTTATGGTTGAATCAACAATAAACCCATACAATTAGCAATGGTCTTGATATACAAAATACATAGATAGGCCTACAGCAGAACCCCTGATATTCCGCCTAAGAGTTACTAGTCGTCGGTAGCTTATATCCAGTCACTTTTCAAAAAACTTATTTACCACGGGTTAAAGATGCAGTTGCTTGCACTAGACCCCGTGACTTGAAGAGCAATCTTGCGATTTTTCTGTTTAAACTTTATATTTTTACATAACCACATTTGCCATTTAAAAAAACTGTCTATTGGTTGTAAACGTAAAAATAACCCTACAAAAATATAAATTTTCACAAAGGCTTTCAAACAAACTCTTTTTTTTTGAGGTAATCACAAAAGATACTTTTATATTGTTATCCAGCCCGGGGACTGGTCTTGTGGAGGCCAAGGTGGATATAAGGGGTTCTACTGTAACGAAAAATGAACAATAATGGTTAAAATAATGAAAAAGAGTAGTTAGAACAGCAACTTAATGCATTTAAAAAATTTGAAACATACAAAGTTAACTAAATTCTTAAAATAATATGAAAAATAAATAAAATATATGTCCAATTCAGAATACAAATCTGGATTTTTCCAGTACTGGGTTTTTGACATTTCAAAATTTGTGAATCTAGTGTACAGTTCATTTAGAAATAATTGATATTTCAGGTAAACTCAAAACAATCAATAGAAAACTATATTGTTTCAAATGATCTGTAATGTTTAATAAACATTTGATCATTATAAACATTTTCAAACAAGATAGTTTGATTTGACATTAAAAAATGTATGTCAACAAATAGTATACAAAAGGCATTAAACAATAAAGTAATTATTTAGTGTAAACAATTTCAAGTGAGGTGTTAGTAACAATAGCCACAAACACAGGAGACATGATTGTTAGGTACATGAGAAGAAGCGCATGCATCTCATGCTAAACAGATGGAATATTTGACTGAACAACAACCATTAGATCTAATGAAAATGAGGTAAAGACATGAATAAAACCCTTAAAAACCTCAAGTATTGGAATAGCTAACCTAATACACACTTTGTTTAGCTTTCCAAATACGAATTGGACCATTCCCTAAGTTAAAAATTTAGAGCATAATACAAACAACTTCTTAACAAACTTAACTTCTTAACAACTTTTAACACTTGAAAAGTGTTTCAAAGTGTTATTCGACACATTTTCATTTACTCTCAGCATAATATACTCCCAATTTAAACATTTGCATTCTTTGATGTATGTTTAGACACGCTTGAAATCTCTTTAGATAGTGGAAACTTCTTATTGCAATGACAGTTTTGATCCTTCCACCAACATTTTTATTTAACACAATTTATATATAAAATACTAATTGAATACAAGTGTTACCTCTGTTAGTCGCACATTGAAAGCTATTCCCCGAAATAATAAATGCCAAAATTACAGTCTGACTAGCAAACCAAAGTGCTATCCGATACCACCACGCATGTTAGAATCTACAATTGCAATTTTTAGTTTATTTAATTTTAGCCAATTACATTACACCATACCACTGGTAAATTAACTAAATTGACAGCCCTCTACTGGTAAAATTGCTAGTTATCTATAATGGAATATGAATCGTGGTGTCTTGGTGAGATTCATAAAGTGGATTCTACTAAGATACTTACGTTCTTGGTCAGAACCATCTTCAGATTTGTCGTCTTTACTCTTCATAAACGGGAATTTGCGGCTGAAGGAGAAGTTTTTCTTTTTCCTATCTAATGTCGATTGCTGAAAACCAAACAGTACGGCATTGAAAATGGATGATGATACAAAAGTATCTGTTAAAAAAAAATACCTACTTTAGATAGGAAAAAGACCTTAGTGTACGGTCCACAAGAATCTGCAGTTGAGGGAGGAGCCTATTTACCACATGATTTTGAAGGAGCCAATGAGGACCATGCGTTGTTGCCAAATCTAATAATACCAGCTGATTTGAAAATATTGTTTAGTATATTTTGATTAGTGTCAAAAAGTAGTGAACGGGTGATGAGAAACGTCGCACTAGTCCAGTCTTGGTATTGGCTGCCGCCAACTGCAGACTCTCGTGGCCTCTAGTGTAGATAATCATCATGAAATTTTCTGGGTATAATGAGTGGTTTACATGTATCTTACCTTAACTAATATTACAGTTTTTTTTATTTTTAGTTTCCTACTCTTCTACTTGCTGTATAAGTTTTCAGCATTAAGTCTTCTTTCATGACAAACAGTATTGCCTTTGTTTTATGGTCTTCAACGTTGGCTCTTTCCACCAATCACACTTAATTTTATTGACACTTTTCACCCCTCACCCACACTTTTTACATGACCAAACTGTACTGTACTATCAACACCAAACTTAAGAGAGCTTAATAAATTTATAGGTATTTAATTTATTATTTCTCATGTGAGGAAACCACACTTTCTTAAGTTTGGTGTTGATAGTACAGTACAGTTTGGTGACGTTGGTAAGTATGGGTCGGTATGGGTAAGTATGGGTTGGTTATAACCAACTGTAGTAACAACTTTTTTCTCCCTGAAAACTCTACGAAACTCTTTGAATTTTGTTATACTACATGTTGAGATTTCTTGTTCTGAATAGCACCTAATCATCATTATGTCCTTGTTTCCGCTTTGGTATCCATACTACAGCAAATGAAAATTGAGATCCCACTCATTCTACACTCATCCTTCACTCATATTAGCGTTGAATATACTCAGTTGTGTCTCTTTTGAAATTAGAAGTGTAAAGTAATGTTTAGGCTTTATCAAAAACGATTTCGAATTACACTTACCTTGTCCAGCATGACTGGCATGTGGCCCTGGAACTTGACTGTTCTGTCCCTGGCCCGCTGCTTGCGCTCCCACCTCCGTTTGGATGGCACTATGCCAAGACCCTCTGTGGCACCGTCGCTCAACACTCGTCGCGCCTGCCACCACTCGTCGTCACTTGCGTTTGTCACGTGTAGGATATCACCAAAGTGAAACGCCAGTCCTCGTGAAGGCAGTCCGTCGTCTTTCAACGGGTCGTAGTCGAATAGGGCTCTGAAGAGGACAATTAAAATTTTTTTCAATGTAGGTAAATTAGTTTATGTCCCTTAAGGTTATTGTGGAAACTTTAAGATTCTGATAGTAAACATAAATGTGTTTTTCAGCTAATTGTGTTTCTAGCAATGATTAAATTATACGTTTCAAATAGTTTTCTTGATAGTATATCTCCAGCAAACAAGAGACATGCTCTGATGGTAGGTTTCAAACAGGGTCAATAACAATTGACAAAGTTAGATATGACTAGTGGTTGGAAGGATCTGAACTAAGTAAAACCTGTTCCCTAACTTCACCAACTGACTAATCACTGGACGACCTAACGTATCAAGTGTACAGTAGCATTGATAGCGGAATTATTAGTACAATAATATTCCACCGAGCAACAACGTTCACTGTTCAGTACAGTATTAATCGTAGTAGTAGTATTTACGATTATTATTACCTGACATATAGAGAGCGTTTCTGTGAGGTGCGCAGCAAAGTTCCCGTTGATGAGGAGATCTGCCCTTGCGACATCTGCTGCTTCAGGTCATGGATCTTGGCCTCGAACCTGTTGTAGTCCTCCGGCCTGTACTGCGCTACTATTGTCACTGTCTGGCCAGCGCCCTGCACAAACATTCACGTTGAAACCTGGCAATTGAGTGGTGTAGCCTAATACTTTGAATTCAAACTAATAAACCTTCCTCAATATCAAAGGGATTTCAAAGATAAAATTGTATAGAACATTGGTACAAAAACACATACCAGGATCACATACAAAGATATTTGACAGCGAATGGGACAAGGGTAAATGTGGATGTGACAAAACAATCAAGACTAGGATGGTTTTGTCATAAAAATTTACGAAATAAGAGTGACAACCATCTGGCTTGAGAGAAAAACTGGTGGAAAGGAAAGAGGCTTATCAGCACAGATAAGAAACAGGTGCTACTACACTGATGATGATTTGTATAAGGACTTTTGATATCAGTAAACTTTTTCTCAGCACAGTGTTCAGAATAAGATTACTTCATCAATATCATGAGATGAACAATACCAATATACCTCTTAAACTTGGATTATGGTTTATTATAAGCACCAGAATATCACTTTTTTAAGGAAACTGGGAGGTTACAACCCTCTCCTTCCAATCTGAAGGTTGGTTTCAATCAGTTTGGACCCAGATTAATGAAGTTCTAACAACAAGGCAAGTCTATCAAGACCAGGGTTCAGACTGTTCTCTTTTCCATTGTCACAAAAAAACAAAAATGTGACAATGGCATAGAAAAAAACATCTAACACTGTCCTACCTTGAGAGCCTGAGCGGCTTCCTCGTGCGTCGCACTGCGGAGGTTGACTCCGTTGACACTCAGTATCTGGTCTCCCCGCCGCAGTTCCCCGCTCAGGTCCGCTGGGCCTCCAGCCAAGATGAAGGACACGAAGATACCCTCACCATCCTCCCCGCCGACTATGTTAAACCCCAGCCCAGTGTTGCCTTTGTTCAGCACTATTGTTCTCACATCCCTGGAACAAACATGCCTGGTGATTAGTCGAAGCCGTTCACCAACATCGGAGATCTATACAATGTAGTTTGCTCAAAAGATATGTTACGCAGTTGCACTATGGGGAACCCTACATAAGAGAACAACTGGAATCACTGCCCTCCACAGACATACTTACAGTGTTATTATATTCTGGAGCAGGAATATATGTCAGGTTTTTCTTAAGATCAAGTTCTTAAAAAAACATCTCGCTTACAACATTTAAATTCTCTTATACCCAGAATGTTTCTAAAGTACTTAAAGCATTTTTTTTCAAGATTATTACAGTGTCGATCAGTCTTTATAAATTTCAATTTATTGTTGTACAGTACTTAAAATATCTAATCTGATAATTATTCTCAGTATGATGACTTGGCTGATATTGGGAATATAGCTGATCAAAGTTATTGAGACTTCACGGTGGGTTGAGTTTAAGTCTTGGGAATAAGGTTCTGACATGAGCAATATCATCGTTGATAACAAGGACTCCTTTTAACGAGTCAATAATTTTAAAATCCTATATAATCTATTGTTTTCCCCAAAATGAATTGTATAAGAAAATACCATGGCAAAAAAGTAGATGGTTATTAAAATTCTATATACTATAATAATAGCTTTGAGCCTTCTGCATTCTAATTACTAAAACGTTTTTTTACCTTGGATATTATAGCTAACCATAAAGCACAATATAAAATGAAATGGTAAAAGTGTACTGAATTTTTCCAGTAACTCAAGCCAGTGCAGTGTACCAACTGGATGGCAGTAAACCTGAAAAATTGCATCTGAAAGTCAATTGGTTTGAACAGTATTCAGACTAACTTGGCCAATACACCTCTCTAGTTGAAAAGAGGGATAATTTTTTACATACATGTGCGATTTTGTTCATTATCTAACAAATTAGAACCTTATTATGATTAGTTTAAAACGAGTAATTAATAGATGCAACCTACTTGAAGAGCAGATACCACATTCTGAACACATTAAAATATGCGGCTGTTGTAGAGTTAAAACTATAGTCTGTGAGGGAGGACTCGGTAACAAACTTATACTTAAACAAAATCGGAGAAGCAAGAAACATTGGATATTTTGTGAACATTTTTCAAAACTGCAAATCTTGCCTTAGGCCTATTATGCTCCTACTTCTTAGCAATATAATCATGATCAATCTTGTTTTCAATTTATTGTTAGTAGTATCTACGGTAAACTGACAATTCTTTCACAAAATTAGTTGTAAATAATGCTCAAAACTAATTGATAGCCCTACTACAATAAAGAAATTCTCAAAAAAAGATAAAACTTAGCAGTTAGTTGTTACGATGACAATGTTTCCTTCAAACAAAGGAATAATTAAGGTTTGGAGATAGAAAATAAGTTATAATTAGCAATCCAAATTACTAACTTACTGAACTTGCAATTAGGACTATTTCGAATGTATGGTTATTTATGTGATATTTAAAAATGATTGACAATAAAAAATAAAATAACTTTATTTGATTTGATAAAATATACTTTGGAAGTGTGTACCAGAAATACACAGCACTACATTATATGATTGGGAACCTGGCGAAGCATACACAAGTTAAGAAACATCCTAACTTCAACATAGTGGTACTAATTATCATCAAGCCCCTACACACAATCTTGATAAAATACACAAACATTCACAATTAGTCACAAATTTAACACAACAGCGACAACTCACTTCGCCCAGACCGCCCAATGAACTCGTTTTTTCACCGGAGAATCCATTTGTAGAACGAACAAAGTGAAAATAACCATCGGGAAACTAAACAACTAGACCAATAACACTGCGATAGGACAATAACAATAACTACAGCAGTAACACCAACAGTCGAAAGAGTTGTGCGATGGACACTGTACGAGACGAGAGGTGAGTTTTTTAATTAAACCGACAATCGACGCTCCACAGCCTCCCTAAACACTGTTTGTTTACCAAATGTCATTTAGATCCCAATTTTGATGCGAAGCTCTGATGACAAAAATTGTAATTAGGTAAACACCTCCAACCTGGTGTGGCTTTGTGGAATTGATTGTGCACAAATTACAACAAATCAACATCTGACGGCAAACTGATTGAGTTTTAATCTGGTAAGGGTCAAATGAATGATCGGGTTGCTGTTTATTGGAACGTACTTAATTAAAAAAAAAATTATTTAATTTTTTTTATGTTAACTCTGATCGATGTAATAATATTTTGTGGAGAAAATAGCTGGGTGCTAGAAAAGGATATAAAACTCTCCCAGTGATCAATAGGTTTCCACCGGTTCTTTAAGTCAGCAGGTTTTTGATTGTTCAAAACTGGACTAACCCGGATTGGATCATTGGTGTCAAATAAATTATCTAACTAAAGGTTTTGATCTTAGTATCAAAGCTTCCATTCCATTAATTCAACTCGTGCTTCACAGTAAACATAAAAAAATTATGTCATTTGAAAATATGAACTTTAAAAATGTGATGTTGCATAAGTTATGAATAAATATAAATAAAAAAGTAGAGTTAAGAGCTCTGTGATCTGGAGTTCACTAATCCACTGGTTTAACAAAGGACATTCAGATCCCAATTTCTATATGACATTAACCCAGAAAAAAGTATAACTAACCCAGACTCGCTGAACCACCTAATGTGGCTTTATGAAATTGATTATGCAAAGCACAGCTGACAGTTGGGGCTTCATGATTTACGATGATAGGCTTGTTGTGGTGAGGTTGGTTATTTTACGCTGTTTTAATCTTGACGGTAATTTTTTGCATTACATTATAGCTAGTTTATGACAACGTAGAAATTATTTGATAAAAGCTTCTTTAAAACACACCAAAAACATTTAATATAATACTAACTGTACTGAGACTTACCCCAAACTTACCATTCAAAGGGCTTTTCAAGCCGTTAATAAATATCATAAATATTTAAAACTATGTATTTCAAAAAAGACTATTTCTTTTATGATCGTTATTTCACATGTATTTTGAGTAGGACGTATACGTATCTCCAAATTTTTTCTTGTTCAATGTACAACTCACAACGTTTCACTAAAACAGTTTGATCTTCTTTATTCAAACTAATGAATCAAAGTTTTTGGCTTGTCCAGTGGTCGTAGAATGTTGTATTATTTGAGACAGCAGCCTTAACAAAAACAATAGTAACTACAGAATTCTAACACCAAATACATTGTGTAATCCCCCCTCTTGGTGTTGGACTCAAGTTTAGTACCTAACAGTATTATGGCCTCTTAACCAGGGCTTCTTGTACATTCAAACACCGAGCTAAGTTATGTGTTGTGCTAAACCAGTCATAAAAGCAAACCAAACTCAAAGTCAAAATACAGTAAACATTTTATGTTCCATCTAAAACATCCACAGGTTTGCTATCAAAACCCTCCGTTCGAATCTTGAATGATAAAAACCTTTTCAATACGAGCTACCAAAATGTTAAACTATATTTAAAATACTAAAGGAATATTCAAAAATGCCGTAATAGGATAGTTATTTCTTGGCATACAGATATTTATGTTCGAAAAATTATGACTTATAACAAGTGAATAGCTTTCTTTTCCTCAAAAACTTCACTTGGAGATAGCTGAAATTAGAATACTGTATTTGCGATCTATTAAAGCACTTGATACAATATTCCAGTAACTAAATCATTAGGAAATTATTATAGTGTTTATTAAGAGAACGTTATTTTGATGGTTTGCGTTTAGCTTTTTTTTTACTTTCTCCCTTACTTACCTGTAGTCCAATTCATGGTTTTTCCATAACTTTTTTTATTGTTTTTTGAAATGTTGAGTGTTAATGGTGATTCCTCCTCCCAAAAAAAATATAAAATATCGGAAAAAGTAATTTTTTTCAGAAATAGGGTGATAAAAATGTAGTTTGTTTTTGTCCTTTTAACACAATGGTATAACCCCTAATGTTGTACAATTATGGTTCAAAGGTTGTTTAAATTTTTGCAAATTTACTTATACACAGCTATTCCTGACCTATTAGCATTACCCTGTTTATGTTTATTCCCTCCAGAATCCCCTAATTCCCACCAATATCCCACCTCATCATAACCCTCATATTTCTTCCCCTCCCCCCTACAAATGTCAGAAATATTCTCAGCACTAACCCATTTAATGGGTTGTCAAGCTAATGGAAGAAAGTATCTAGTCAGTTTGCTGAGCCTTTTTTCCAATGAGATTTTAGTAAATTACCAAATCAGTGGGACATTTAATGCAACAGATTCAAAATATTGTTACGTTGTTTTACAGTTCTGGGTGATTTAACGATTATATTGTAAAGTTTCCTACTATTTAACAAATTAACCCCTAAACCTCATGATACCTGTGAAGAGGAGAATAAAAATACTCCGATAACCGATTTTTAAAACCCAATTACAGAAACATGTAATCAAATCAAGACCAAAATACTTGAACATTTTAACTGTCGTGTAATGGAATGTAATTTAAAGTTAACTGGGTGATGGTACGATAACATGCTATATGGTTGTCAAGGGAAATCACCCTTCTAATATTTCAAACAGCATCCAACTTGTGCAGGCAATTCATCATGGCACGCAGCGAAATATTATGTGCATGTTTACCAATTATGTCAGAACGCATCACATCGGGAGTTACAAACATGAGTAGGGGATGAAATTTTAACAAACAAATGGGTTTAAAGTGCAATGGGGCAGGTGGAGTATATATTTAGTACTAGATTACCATACTATTTCCCTGTGCTTTCAACGGAGTACAAACCTAGAATTTCAGAAAGGTTTACAACTCAATTGCAATAAACTAAAATTACCGTTGTTTATAAGATGCTACAGGTAAAAAAATAATGAAGTTAAAACTGAGGAAAAAACAACAGATAATTTCACAATGGAAATGATAACTAGCTTAATCAATTTAAAATCCCTATGGGTCGGGTCAAGACAATTTTAAGGCTAGTTTGGCCCGGTTTAGGTTGAGGGTAGTTT